GGCCCGGGGCCAGGGACGACACCTCCCCCCCCACCGCCACCACCGGGACCCCCTCGAGGTGCGTGGGGGAGGGGCCGGCAGCGCGGGGCCTCCCCTCCCCCCATCCTTCCCTTCCCCCTCCTTCCCTCCTCCCCAGTTGCCCCAATTTCCCCCTTCTTTCCTTCTTTTCCCTCCCTATTTTTATTATTTTCACCAGTTTTCCCTTCTTTTTCCCGTTTTTTCCTTTTTTCCTGTTTTTTCCTCCTTTTCCCCGTCTTTTTATCTCTATTTTCCTGCTTTCCCCCCTTCTTTCCCTCTTTTCTCTCCCTATTTTCATTATTTTCCCCATTTTTTTCCTTCTTTTTCCCGTTTTTTCCTTTTTTCCCCGTTTTTTCCTTCTTTTCCCCCTTTTCCCTTCTTTTTCATCTCTATTTTCCTGCTTTCCCCCCTTCTTTCCTCCTCGTCCCTCCCTATTTTCCTTCTTTCCCCCATCTTTCCTTCTTTTCCCTCCCTATTTTTATTATTTTCCCCATTATTCCTTCTTTCCTCCCCCTTTTTCCTTCTTTTTCGTCCCTATTTCCTCCTTTCCCCCCCTTTTCCTTCTTTTCCCCCTTCTTTCCTTCTTTTCCTGCCCTATTTTCCTTCTTTCCTCCTTCTTTCCATCTTTTCCCTCCCTATTTTCATTATTTTCCCCATTGGTCCTTCTTTTCCCGCCTTTTCCCTTCTTTTCCGTCCCTATTTCCCTTCTTTCCCTTCTTTTTTTTATCTCTATTTTCCTTCTTTTCCCTCCCTATTTTCCTTCTTTTTTCCTCTTCTTTCCTTCTTTTCCTGCCCTATTTTCCTTCTTTTTCCCCTTCTTTCCTTCTCTTCCCTCCCTGTTTTCCTTCTTTCCCCCATCTTTCCGTCTTTTCCCTGCCTATTTTCATTATTTTCCCCCATTGTTCCTTCTTTCCCCCCCCTTTTTCCTTTTTTTGTGCCTATTTTCCTCCTTCCCCCCCCTTTTCCTTCTTTCCCCCCTTCTTTCCTTCTTTTCCTGCCCTATTTTCCTTCTTTCCTCCTTCTTTCCTTCTTTTCCCTCCCTATTTTCATTATTTCCCCCATTTGGTCCTTCTCCCCCCCCCGCCCCCCTTTTCCTTCTTATTTGCCCCTATTTTCCTTCTTTCCCCTCTTTTTCCTTCTTTTTCATCTCCATTTTCCTGCTTTTCCCCCTTCTTTCCTTCTGTTCCCTCCCTATTTTCCTTCTTTCCCCCTTCTGTCCTTCTTTTCCCTCCCTATTTTCCTCCTTCCTCCTTTCCTTCTTTTCCCCCTTTTTTTCTTTCTTTTCCCTCCCCATTTTCCTTCTTCCCCCCTTTCCCGCCTTTTTTTCCTCATTTTCCCTCTTCTTTCCTTTCCCCCTTCTTTCCCCCTTCTTTCATTCTTTTCCCTCCCTATTTTCCTCCTTTCCCCTTTCCTTCTTTTCCCTCCATGTTTTCCTTCTTTTCCCTCCCTATTTTCCTTTTTCCCTCTTCTTTCTTTCT